ATGACTACCAGAGCAAGCCTTAAATTATTTGTTCCCTTCAAAACGACTACCAGAGCAAGCGTTAAATTATTTGTTCCCTTCACAACGATTACCAGGCCAAGCCTTAAATTATTTTTTCTCATCATAACGATTACCAAGGCAACCCTTCAGTTATTTGTTCTCACTATAACGACTACCAGGCCAAACCTTATATTATTTGTTCCCTTCATAACGACTACCAGAACTAGACTTAAATTATTTGTTCCCTTCATAACGACTACCAGGGCAAGCCTTAAATTATTTGTTCCCTTCATAACGACTACCAGAGCAAGCATTAAATTATTTGTTCCCTTCACGACGATTACCAGGGCAAGCCTTAAACTATTTCTTCTCATCATACTGACTTCAAAGGCAAGCCTTAAATTATTTATTCTCACTATAACGACTACCAGAACATGCCTTAAATTATTTGTTCTCTTCATAACGACTACTAAGGCAAGCCTTCATTTATTTGTTCTCACTATAACGACTACCAGGCCAAACCTTGAATTATTTATTTCTCTTCATAACGACTACCATGAGAAGCCTTAAATTATTTGTTCCCTTCATAAAGACTACCAGAACCAGCCTTAAATTATTTGTTCCCTTCATAGCGACTACCATGGCAAACCTCAAATCATTTGTTCCCTTCATAACGACTACCAGGGCAAGCATTAAATTATTTATTCTCTTCATAACGACTTCCAGGGAAAGCCTTAAATTATTTGTTCCCTTCATAACGGCTACAAGGGTAAACCTTAAATTATTTGTTCCCTTCATAACGACTACCAGGGCAAGCCTTCAATTATTTGTTCCCTTCATAATGACTACCAGGGCAAGCTTTAAATTATTTTTTCCCTTCATAACGACTTCCAAGGCAAGCCTTAAATTATTTGTTCCCTTCATAACGACTTGCAGGGCAAGCCTTAAATTATTTGTTCCCTTCATAACGACTACAAGAAGCCTTATTAAATTATTTGTTCCCTTCATAACGACTACTAGGGCAAGCCTTAAATTATTTATTATTTTCATAACGACTACCAGAGCAAGCCTTAAATTATTTGTTCCCTTCATAACGACTACCAGGGCAAGCCTTAAGATTTTTGTTCCCTTCATAACGACAACCAGATCAAGCCCTAAATTATATGTTCCCTTCATAACGACTACCAGAACTAGCCTTGAATTATTTCTTCCCTTCATAACGACTACCTGGGCAAGCCTTAAATTATTTGTTCCCTTCATAACGACTACCAGGGAAAGCCTTAAATTATTTGTTCCCTTCATAACGACTACGATGGTAAGCCTTAAATTATATGTTCCCTTTATAACGACTACCAGGGCAAGCCTTAAATTATTTGTTCTCTTCATAAGGAGTACCAGGGCAAGATTTGAATTATTTGTTCCCTTCATAACGACTACGAGAGCAAGCCTTAAATTATTTATTCCCTTCATGACGACTACCAGGGCAAGCCTTAGAATATTTGCTCCCTTCATTACGAGTACCAGGGCAAGCCTTAAATTATTTGTTATATTCATAATGACTACCAGGGCAAGCCTTAAATTATTTGTTCCCTTCATAACGACTACAAGAACTAGCCTTAAATTATTTGTTTCCTTCATAACGACTAACATGGCAAGCCTTAAATTATTTGTTCACCTCATAACGACTACCAGGGCAAGCCTTAAATTATTTGTACCCTTCATGACGACTACCATGGCAAGCCTTAAATTTTTTGTTCCCTTCATAACGACTACTAGGGCAAGCCTTAAATTATTTGTTCCCTTCATAACAACTACCAGGGTAAGCCCTAAATTATTGTTCCCTTCATAACGACTACAATAACAAGCCTTAAATTATTTGTTCCCTTAATAACGACTTCCAGGGTAAGCCTTAAATTATTTGTTCCCTTTATAACGACTACCAGGGTAAGCCCTAAATTATTTGTTCCCTTCATAACGACTACCAGAACAAGCCTTAAATTATTTGTTCCCTTCATAACAACTACCAGGGTAAGCCCTAAATTATTTGTTCCCTTCATAACGACTACCAGAACAAGCCTTAAATTATTTGTTCCCTTAATAACGACTTCCAGGGTAAGCCTTAAATTATTTATTCCCTTCATAACGACTCCCAGAGCAAGCATTAAATTATTTATTCCCTACATAACGGCTACCAGGGCAAGCCTTAAATTATTTGCTCTCTTCATAACGACTACCAGGGCATGCTTTAAATTATTTTTTCCCTTCATAACGGCTTCCAGGGCAAGCCTTAAATTATTTGTTCCCTTCACAACGACTAACAGGACAAGCCTTAAATTATTTGTTCCCTTCATAACGACTACCAGGGCATGCTTTAAATTATTTTTTCCCTTCATAACGGCTTCCAGGGCAAGCCTTAAATTATTTGTTCCCTTCACAACGACTAACAGGACAAGCCTTAAATTATTTGTTCACTTCATAACGATTTCAAAGGCAAGCCTTAAATTATTTGTTCCCTTCATAACGACTACAAGAAGTAGCCTTAAATTATTTGTTCCCTTCACAACGACTACCAGGGCAAGCTTTAAATTATTTATTCCCTTCATAACGACTACCAGGGCAAGCCTTAAATTATTTGTTCCCTTCATAACGATTGCCGGGGGAAGCCTTGAAATTTTTGTTCCCTTCATAACGACTACCAGGGCAAGCCCTAAATTATATGTTCCCTTTATAACGACTACTAGAACTAGCCTTAAATTATTTGTTCCCTTCATAATGACTACGTTAGCAAGCCTTAAATTATTTGTTCCCTTCATAACGACTACCAGGGCAAGCTTTAAATTATTTTTCCCTTCATAACGATTTCCAAAGGCAACCCTTTAAAAATTATTTTTCCCCTTCAACGACTAACAGGGCAACCCTTAAAAATTATTTTTTCCTTCAAAAAACGACTTCAAGGCAAGCCTTAAATTCTTTTTCCCCTTCTAAGATACAAAAAGAGCCCTTAAATTTTTGTTCCCTTCAAAAAAGACTACCAGGGAAAAACCCTTTAAAAATTTTTTTTCCCCTTCTAAGAAAATCTGGAAAGCCATAAATTATATTTTCCCTCATAAGACACCAAAAAATTCCCTTAAAATTTTTTTTCCCTTCATAACGACGCCGGGGCACCCCCTTAAAATTTTTTTTCCCCTTCTAGCGACTCCAGAGCAACCCTTAAATTATTTGCCCCTTCATAACGGCTATCGGGGGGAAATTTAAAAATTTATTTTTTTCCCTTATAAGGGACTAGGGGGCAAGCTTAAAATTATTTGTTCCCTTCATAACGCTCCCGGGCCCAAGCCTTAAATTTTTGTTTCTTCAAACGTACGGGAAAACCCTTTTAAATTATTTGTTCCCTTCATATCGACTACCAGATCAAGCCTTAAATTATTTATTCCCTTCTTAACGACTACCGGGGGAAGCCTTAGATTATTTGTTCCCTTCATTACGAGTACCATGGCAAGCCTTAAATTATTTGTTCCCTTCAAAACGACTACCAAGGCAAGCCTTAAATTATTTGTTCCCTTCATAACGACTACAAGAACTATCCTTAAATTATTTGTTCCTTTTATACCGACTAACATTGCAAGCCTTAAATTATTTATTCCCTTCAGAACGACTACCAGAACAAGCCTTAAATTATTTGTTCCCTTCATAACGACTACCAGTGCAACCCTTGAATTATTTGTTCCCTTAATAACGACGACCAGGGCAAGCCTTAAATTATTTTTTCCCTTCATAACGACTACCAGAGCAATCCTTAAATTATTTATTGCCTTCATAACGACTACCAGGGCAAGCCTTAGATTATTTGCTCCCTTCATTACGAGTACCAGGGCAAGCCTTAAATTATTTGTTCCCTTCATAACGACTACCAGGGCAAGCCTTAAATTATTTGTTCCCTTCATAACGACTACAAGAACTAGCCTTAAATTATTTGTTCCCTTCATAACGACTAACATGGGAAGCCTTAAATTATTTGTTCCCCTCATAACGACTACCAGGGAAAGCCTTAAATTATTTGTTCCCTTCATAACGACTACCAGTGCAAGCCTTGAATTATTTGTTCCCTTAATAACGACGACCAGGGCAAGCCTAAAATTATTTTTTCCCTTCATATCGACTACCAGTGCAAGCCTTAAATTATTTGTTCCCTTTATAACGACTACCAGGGCAAGCCTTAAATTATATGTTCCCTTCATAACGACTACCAAGACAAGCCTTAAATTATTTGTTCCCTTCATAATGACTACTAGAGCAAGCCTCAAATTATTTGTTTCCTTCATAACGACTACCAGAACAATCCTTAAATTATTTATTCCCTTCATAACGACTACCAGGGCATGCCTTAAAGTATTTGTTCCCTTCATAACGACTACCAAAACAAGCGTTAAATTATTTTTTCCCTTCATAACGACTACCAGAACAAGCCGTAAATTATTTGTTCCCTTCATAACAACTACCAGAGAAAGCCTTAAATTATTTGTTCCCTTCATAACGACTACCAGAGCAAGCCTTAAATTATTTGTTTCCTTCATAACGACTACCAGGACAAGCCTTAAATTATTTGTTTCCTTCATGACGACTGCTATAGCAAGACTTAAAATATTTGTTCCCTTCATAACGACTACCAGGGCAAGCCTTAAATTATTTGTTCCATTCATAACGACTACCAGGGCAAGCCTTAAATTATTTGTTCCCTTCATAACGACTACCAGGGCAAGCCTTAAATTATTTGTTCCATTCATAACGACTACCAGGGCAAGCCTTAAATTATTTGTTCCCTTCATAACGACTACCAGGGCAAGCCTTAAATTATTTGTTCCGTTCATAACGACTACCAGGGCAAACATTGGAACAAAACATTAAATGTTACTCATCTTTAGGTGTTTACCCCAGAAAGAACATTAATGATGAAATAGAAGCAATTATTATATTATGATCTGAATACAAAGTCGACTTACTATATTATCTCGAGGATAGAAATGGTTGACCAGAAAGTGAGTAACGTCGTCATGGTCTTTCAACGTCAGCACCACATACTGCAGCTCCCGGACCTCACTCATCCTCTCCTCTGGCTCAAACCTAAGAGCCAGATATATCAATGACTATTGACACTGAGTGATTCCTCTCCTTGTTAACGCTGTATGTAATGTTTCACTCCTCAATAATGCAGTATCTTATGTTTCACTCCTCACTAACACTGAGTGTAATGTTTCACTCCTCACTAACACTGTATGTAATGTTTCACTCCTCACTAACACTGAGTGTAATGTTTCACTCCTCACTAACACTGTATGTAATGTTTCACTCCTCACTAACAATGAATGTAACGTTTCAGTCCTCACTAATACTGAATGTAACGTTTCACTCCTAACTAACACTGTGTGTAATGTTTCACTCCTCTCTAACACTGAATGTAATGTTTCACTCCTCTCTAACACTGAATGAAATGTTTCACTCCTCACTAACACTGTCTGTAACGTTTCACTCCTCACTAACACCGTATGTAATGTTTCACTCCACACTAACACTGTAAATGATGTTTCACTCCACACTAACACTGTAAATGATGTTTCACTCGTCACTAACACAGTGTAAGTAATGTTTCGCTCCTCACTAACACTGTATGTAATGTTTCACTCCTCACCAACACTGTAAGTGATGTTTCACTCCTCACTAACACTGTAAGTAATGCTTCACTCCTCACTAACACTGTAAGTGATGTTTCACTCCTCACTAACACTGTAAGTAATGCTTCACTCCTCACTAACACTGTAAGTGATGTTTCACTCCTCACTAATACTGTAAGTAATGCTTCACTCCTCACTAACACTGTAAGTGATGTTTCACTCCTCACCAACACTGTATGTAATGTTTCACTCCTCACCAACACTGTAAGTGATGTTTCACTCCTGACCAACACTGTAAGTGATGTTTCACTCCTCACTAACACTGTAAGTAATGCTTCACTCCTCACTAACACCGTGTAAGTGATGTTTCACTCCTCACTAACACTGTAACTAATGTTTCACTCCTCAATAACACTGTAAGTAATGTTTCACTCCTCACTAACACTGTAAGTAATGTTTCACTCCTCACTAACACTGTAAGTAATGTTTCACTCCTCACTAACACTGTAAGTAATGTTTCTCTCCTCACTAACACTGCAAGTAATGTTTCACTCCTCACTAACACTGTAAGTAATGTTTCACTTCTCACTAACACTGTAAGTAATGTTTCACTCCTCACCAACACTGTAAGTAATGTTTCACTCCTCACTAACACTGTAAGTAATGTTTCACTCCTCACTCACACTGTAAGTAATGTTTCATTTCTCACTAACACTGTAAGTAATGTTTCACTTCTCACTAACACTGTAAGTAATGTTTCACTCCTCACTAACACTGTAAGTAATGTTTCACTCCTCACTAACACTGTAAGTAATGTTTCAATTCTCACTAACACTGTAAGTAATGTTTCACTCCTCACCAACACTGTAAGTGATGTTTCACTCCTCACTAACACTGTAAGTAATGCTTCACTCCTCACTAACACCGTGTAAGTGATGTTTCACTCCTCACTAACACTGTAAGTAATGTTTCACTCCTCAATAACACTGTAAGTAATGTTTCACTCCTCACCAACACTGTAAGTAATGTTTCTCTCCTCACTAACACTGTAAGTAATGTTTCACTCCTCACTAACACTGTAAGTAATGTTTCACTTCTCACTAACACTGTAAGTAATGTTTCACTCCTCACAAACACTGTAAGTAATGTTTCTCTCCTCACTAACACTGTAAGTAATGTTTCACTCCTCACTCACACTGTAAGTAATGTTTCTCTCCTCACTAACACTGTATGTAATGTTTCACTCCTCACTAACACTGTAAGTAATGTTTCACTCCTCACTAACACTGTAAGTAATGTTTCTCTCCTCACTAACACTGTAAGTAATGTTTCACTCCTCACTAACACTGTAAGTAATGTTTCTCTCCTCACTAACACTGTAAGTAATGTTTCTCTCCTCACTAACACTGTAAGTAATGTTTCACTCCTCACTAACACTGTAAGTAATGTTTCACTCCTCACTAACACTGTAAATAATGTTTTCATCTCCTCACTAACACTGTAAGTAATGTTTTCACTCCTCACTAACACTGTAAGTAATGTTTTCTCTCCTCACTAACACTGTAAGTAATGTTTCACTCCTCACTAACACTGTAAGTAATGTTTCACTCCTCACTAACACTGTAAGTAATGTTTCACTCCTCATCTAACACTGTAAGTAATGTTTCTCTCCTCACTAACACTGTAAGTAATGTTTCACTCCTCACCAACACGGTAATTAATGTTTCTCTCCTCACTAACACTGTAAGTAATGTTTCTCTCCTCACTAACACAGTAAGTAATGTTTCACTCCTCACTAACACTGTAAGTAATGTTTCTCTCCTCACTAACACTGTAAGTAATGTTTCTCTCCTCACTAACACTGTAAGTAATGTTTAACTCCTCACTAACACTGTAAGTAATGTTTCTCTCCTCACTAACACTGTAAGTAATGTCTCACTTTTCACTAACGCAGTATGCAATGTTTCTCTCCTCACTAACACTGTAAGTAATGTTTCTCTCCTCACTAACACTGTAAGTAATGTTTCACTCCTCACTAATGCAGTATGCAATGTTTCTCTCCTCACTAACACTGTAAATAATGTTTCACTCCTCAGTAACACTGTAAGTAATGTTACACTCCTCACTAACACTGTAAGTAATGTTTCACTCCTCACTAACACTGTAAGTAATGTTTCACTCCTCACTAACACTAAGTAATGTTTCACTCCTCATTAACACTGTAATAATGTTTCACTCCTCACTAATGCAGTATGCAATGTTTCTCTCCTCACTAACACTGTAAATAATGTTTCACTCCTCAGTAACACTGTAAGTAATGTTTCACTCCTCACTAACACTGTAAGTAATGTTTCACTCCTCACTAACACTGTAAGTAATGTTTCACTCCTCACTAACACTAAGTAATGTTTCACTCCTCATTAACACTGTAAGTAATGTTTCACTCCTCACTAACACTGTAAGTAATGTTTCACTCCTCACTAACACTGTAAGTAATATATTTCTCCTCACTAACACTGTAAGTAATGTTTCACTCCTCACTAACACTGTTAGTAATGTTTCACTCCTCACTAACACTGTAAGTAATGTTTCACTCCTCACTAACACTGTAAGTAATGTTTCACTCCTCACTAACACTGTTAGTAATGTTTCACTCCTCACTAACACTGTAAGTAATGTTTCACTCCTCACTAACACTGAAAGTAATGTTTCACTCCTCACTAACACTGTAAGTAATGTTTCACTCCTCACTAACACTGTAAGTAATGTTTCACTCCTCACTAACACTGAAAGTAATGTTTCACTCCTCACTAACACTGTAAGTAATGTTTCACTCCTCACTAACACTGTAAGTAATGTTTCACTCCTCACTAACACTATAAGTAATGTTTCACTCCTCACTAACACTGAAAGTAATGTTTCACTCCTCACTAACACTGTAAGTAATGTTTCACTCCTCACTAACACTGTAAGTAATGTTTCACTCCTCACTAACACTGAAAGTAATGTTTCACTCCTCACTAACACTGTAAGTAATGTTTCACTCCTCACTAACACTGTAAGTAATGTTTCACTCCTCACTAACACTGTAAGTAATGTTTCACTCCTCACTAACACTGTAAGTAATGTTTCACTCCTCACTAACACTGAAAGTAATGTTTCACTCCTCACTAACACTGTAAGTAATGTTTCACTCCTCACTAACACTGTAAGTAATGTTTCACTCCTCACTAACACTGTAAGTAATGTTTCACTCCTCACTAACACTGAAAGTAATGTTTCACTCCTCACTAACACTGTAAGTAATGTTTCACTCCTCACTAACACTGTAAGTAATGTTTCACTCCTCACTAACACTGTAAGTAATGTTTCACTCCTCACTAACACTGTAAGTAATGTTTCACTCCTCACTAACACTGTATGTAATGTTTCACTCCTCACTAACACTGTAAGTAATGTTTCTCTCCTCACTAACACTGTAAGTAATGTTTCACTCCTCACTAACACTGTAAGTAATGTTTCACTCCTCACTAACACTGTAAGTAATGTTTCTCTCCTCACTAACACTGTAAGTAATGTTTCACTCCTCACCAACACTGTAAGTAATGTTTCTCTCCTCACTAACACTGTAAGTAATGTTTCACTCCTCACTCACACTGTAAGTAATGTTTCTCTCCTCACTAACACTGTAAGTAATGTTTCTCTCCTCACTAACACTGTAAGTAATGTTTCACTCCTCACTAACACTGTAAGTAATGTTTCTCTCCTCACTAACACTGTAAGTAATGTTTCACTCCTCACTAACACTGTAAGTAATGTTTCTCTCCTCACTAACACTGTAAGTAATGTTTCTCTCCTCACTAACACTGTAAGTAATGTTTCACTCCTCACTAACACTGTAAGTAATGTTTCACTCCTCACTAACACTGTAAACAATGGTTCACTCCTCACTAACACTGTAAGTAATGTTTCACTCCTCACTAACACTGTAAGTAATGTTTCTCTCCTCACTAACACTTTAAGTAGTGTTTCACTCCTCACTAACACTGTAAGTAATGTTTCACTCCTCACTAACACTGTAAGTAATGTTTCACTCCTCACTAACACTGTAAGTAATGTTTCTCTCCCTCACTAACACTGTAAGTAATGTTTCACTCCTCACCAACACTGTAATTAATGTTTCTCTCCTCACTAACACTGTAAGTAATGTTTCTCTCCTCACTAACACAGTAAGTAATGTTTCACTCCTCACTAACACTGTAAGTAATGTTTCTCTCCTCACTAACACTGTAAGTAATGTTTCTCTCCTCACTAACACTGTAAGTAATGTTTAACTCCTCACTAACACTGTAAGTAATGTTTCTCTCCTAACTAACACTGTAAGTAATGTTTCACTCCTCACTAACGCAGTATGCAATGATTCTCTCCTCACTAACACTGTAAGTAATGTTTCTCTCCTCACTAACATTGTAAGTAATGTTTCACTCCTCACTAATGCAGTATGCAATGTTTCTCTCCTCACTAACACTGTAAATAATGTTTCACTCCTCAGTAACACTGTAAGTAAT